CTGCCTTCCATACAGGATTAGGCCAGTAATTTCTTCTAACAACTGGTTCTCTGAACTGCTTAGAATGTTAACAACCGGTTCTAGCGAATAAGCGCAAACTAGTAGAATCCCACCCCTGGCTGATTGGTCTTTCTTTCCTTCTCCTCCTTCTTCTTCTCCTCCCCCTCCTTCCCCTCTTCCTCCTCTTCTTTAAAGATAGAGGTGACATTTATTGACATTCTGGACCTCAACAGTTTTGCAGAAGTTCTTAACAACATTGAAAGTGATTTTTGGTGGATGGAGAGATGTATATTATTTGTGTGTTATTTTTTAATTCTATGATACCCTATGTGTAGTATCCTCCCCTCAGTACTAAATAGTTCAGTTGCTAATTAGATTCCAAATCAAGATGAGCACAAGAGCACACACACACACACAGACACACACAACAACTTTAGGGTGCTGGTTCAGGTTGACCTATATAATTATTTCACTTTTTAAAAATCTCAGTTCCTTAAGGTAAACTAGGAGATTTATATGGGCCCACAGAAATGAGATAGAAAGATAGAAAGCACATTAGAATCAAATTAATAATCTAATCTGTTGTTTTGAATTGCTCAACAAAAAGATTAGTTCTAGTAGTGATGCATTAACTTCGTTAAGAATGTTTCCAGGTAAGGTTAAGGAAGGGCAACAAATTCATAATAAAATCTTGTGGTATTCTAAATAATAAGGAAGCTCATGTGACAATAAATGTGTTAATCTACGAGGTGCCACAGGACGTTTTGCTGCATATTGACATAACTCCACTGAACTATTCAGTATGGTTAGGGATAATCCCAATAGGAATAGCCAACACCCCAAAAGACAAGCTCAAGATCCAAAAAGGTCCTGACAGATTTGAACACCGGGGCCTATCTAACAAATTGAAATTCAACATAGAAAAAAATAAGTTTTTACACTTAGGCAAGAAGCACCAATTGTATAGGTACAGACTAAGGGAAACTTGGCTTGATGCCAGTAACTGTGAGAGGGATCTTGGAGTCCTAGTGGACAACCACTTAATTATGAGTCAGATGTCCAGCAGCAGCTAAAAAAGCCAATGCTATCCTAGGCTGCACTAATAGAGGGACAAAATAGAGACCACGTGGAGTTTTATTACCACTTCACAAAGCCTTAGTAAGACCACATTTGGAATACTGCATCCAGTTTTGGTTATCACAAGATAAAAAAAGATGTTGACACACTGGAAAGAGTGCAGAGAAGAGCAACAAGAATGACTTAAGGAGCTGAAGGCTAAAACCAGTGGTGGGATTCAAATTTTTTACTACTAGTTCTGTGGGTATGGCTTGGTGGGTGTGGCAGGGGAAGGATACTGTAAATCTCCAGTCAGAGGTGGTATTTGTCTATTCTTCAAACTACTCAAAATTTCCGCTACCGGTTCTCCAGAACCCGCTGAATACCACCTCTGGCTAAAACATATGAGGAATGGTTACAAGAATTGAGTATGTCTAGTCTGGTGAAAAGAAGGACTAGGGGAGACATGAGAGCAACTATTTGAGGGACTCTTACAAGGATGGGGTGTGTGTGTCAAACTATTTTCCAAAGCATCAAAAGGCAAGATAAGAAATAATGGATGGAAATTAACCAAGGAGGGAAGCAAGCTAGAATTAAGGAGAAAAGTCATAATGGTTAGAGCAATCAGCCAATGGAATAGCTTGCCTTCAGAAGTTGTGGGTGTTCCATGATTAGTGGCTTTCAAAAAAGACTGGATAATCATTTGTCTGAAATTTTATAGGGTCTCTTGCCTGAGCACGGGTTTGGACTAAAAGACCTCCAAGGTCTCTTCCAACTCCATTATTCTATGTTCTGTGAACTTGTATGAAGTTCATCCTCATAATTCCCTAGCTAGCATTTTGATCACTAAGAATTCTGTTGTCCAACATATGGTAGATGCCCAGGTTGGGAAGCAACAGTTTTCAGTGAACATTCTTGAACTGTTTTATGACATACTTATAAATGTTTGGTGTACTATTCCCAAAGGTTATATGCCACTGAATCCTAGAGAGAATCTGTTTGAGGTCATGGTTAAGACACTGAGCTAGAAACGAGGAAACAATGAGTTCTACTCCCACCTTAGATATGTAGCCTCCTAAAGAAGGTGGCAATGACAAGCCACTTCCAAAATCTAGCTAAACTGCAGGGACTTGTCCAGATAGTCATTAATACTCAGGACTGAGTTGAAGTATCTTCCCCTCTCTCCCTCCCCCCCCCCTCCTCTCCCCCTCCCTCCCTCCCCTCAACTCCATCTCAACAAAGCAGTACATACATCCTGCTATCAAAGATCATTTGGATGATCTTTGAGAGAAATGGGATGCCAAATGGCTTGGATTTTGATCTACATAAGACTTTGCATACAATCCTAATTTTGTCTCTGTAAAGAACCCAAGTGCCCTTGAAAACATGGCCAGAGTCCCTTGATGATCTGCAACCACACAATAATATAGTTTACATTCTCATAGAGAAGAGCTGTACTGAAGCATTGTATGAAGTGGTGGTGGGGGGGTGCATCATGCTAACCACAGTGAGAACATTCCCTCTAAAAGTATCACTGAAGTGATGTAATTTAAAGACAAGCATCAACAAACACAACAGTTGTCTGTTCTGCACTAGCCTTTGTGCATTGTGCAATTACATATCTGCTCTATCCCCAACGATGCAGAGTTGATGAATACACAGTTGCCTGTATGTGTAAAGCTGTACACTTAAAGGTGTTCCCAGGGAGCACATCCTCATAGATTTTTAGGCTTAAATTGCATCACAATCATTATCTTTGGGGTAAGGATTCCCATCATAGATCACAGAGTGAACTTTTGTACAGATGCTTTTAGGGGAGTTACTGTTTGGAAACAAGCGATAAATTGCAAGCTTCAGAAATTGAAATTCTGGGTGGAGGCCAAGTAAAGATAAACACTATTCCAAACATGGAAAATCCTATGAACGCTGTGGTTAAAAACAGAGAAATTGCAAATCCAATATCATAGTTAAATGTACATTTATGTTCTTTGTCACTTACTGACCCAGTAGTATGTGTTTAGAAGCTGTGTTATACAGGATCATACTCTCATTAATGGTAATTTATAATCTCCAGTTCACCAACAAATATAACTACAGACATATTTCAGTACATATTTATTCTAATTCCCAAGACTGTTCATAGACCCTTACAATGCTATTTTCTCCATGATAATTGTTTTAGGTCCGATTTTTTTTGTCCTAGTGTTGAAATTATAAGTATTATATTACCATATTTATATATATATGAATGAAACTGTCCCAAAGATCCATTTTACTCAAGTACATCATAGCCCTTATTCCACATTCTAATACACTATTATTATCTCACTTTCTTGAGTAAATACTTGTTTTAAACAATTTTCAAGTTGGAAATGATAGAAGCAGCCAGGTCATTGTTTTTGTATCCCAGTATTTTAACATAAAATAAATGTATGACAAAATTTAGCTGCTTCTCCTTTCCATTTTCCTGGAAGTTATGATAAGTTGAGAGATATCTTACTTTCTGTTGTAAAGTTGCATCGTGTCATCAGTTTCAATGAGGTTAGCTACCCATGACTGTGTTTTATTACAGTATCATTTATTGATATAATTTACTAAAGCCATAATTAGTTGATACCTTGGCAGTGTCTACTATCAAGAGCAAGAAACTGGGAATCAGGGTTAGATCCAAAATGAGTACAAATTTATTCTATGCATCCTCTAAACAAGAATCTAAACTACTAAAGATCAAGAAAAATTGAAGAGTCAATGGCATTCAAGGAGGGTTGGACTTAGATATCTTGTGGATGCGAAAGGACTTGAGATTGACGATGTGTTTGACCCCTCAGGCTCAGCATGGACATCTCCTACATTTGCTTCATGATTAAAGATTACAATACAGCTCCTTCTCAGTCATTTGAATACTACTGATCTTTCATTTAAATAAGCCAATACTATAGATGCAAGTAAACCATTACTATATAGTCCCAAATAAATAATATAATCAAACAAAATTAAAATATTTTAGCTTGGTAGATGTGTTTGTTATCCTGTACAAATGGCACGAATTAAGCTTATGTCCATTTTATTTTTTTTCCCCTCGAGATTTGAAGCCATAGTAATCTCAATGATGTTCAGAAGCTATAGATACAAACTCCAGTGAAGTAGTAAGCTAATGTTGGATGATTTTCTACAATCCTTGATTAGCATACATAGCTTAAATAATGTCCTTCTTCCTGATTTAGTCATTCATGGAAGATTATACTCTGGATGCACCCAACTGTGAATATCGGGACTATATGCAAACATATGAATAAAGAAGAGACATAAAGTTGGTATTCTAATAAAAATCCTTAGAATTGCCATTAGAAAATAAAATTAGATAGGACTCCAGTAGAGAAAATGAGTGACTTCATACAGAATAGCTAAAAGCTAAACAACAACACAACAAACAACAACACAGTAACATTTAGGATCTTCCCAAGGGATGGTTTTTGTAGAACTGACTAAACACAGTGGCCATATTTATATTTTAAAAAAACCAGAATTTTTTTTTAAAGGGGGCTTGCTAAAGTCTAGGTTGAAAGGATCAAACATATCTAATTTGTGTGCCATGAGTTAGAAGATGTACTAACAAAAAAGTCAAAGAATGATTATCAACCACTAATAGAAGAATATTAATTCATATTTAATTTAAATCTTCTTGTTGTTTCACACTGAAAAATCTCAGTTTTGGAAAGTTTGAAACAATCTCAGAAAGAGCAAACAGGGAGGAAAATTTCAATATTATAATTTTCTTTTTAAAATTAGAATCCCATATCCAACTTCATAATAGGAAATCCATGGAATTTGATGGCTTTGGGGACAATATTAAATTGGTGATGGACTTAGAGCCTGAAATCTTCCATTCAGAGTCAGGGAATAATCTGTTGACTGACATTACCTAATGTTTTAGGTACCACCAGATTTTTTTTTTCCAAAAAGTTTTTAATTTTTTAATTTTTACACATCTCTTTGCGTGGGCAACGTGGTTCCAGATTATATCACTTGTACATAATCATACTTTCATTTCCACCAATCTTATATGATGTCATCTCATATCATTATCCATTTTACCCATATTTAAATAAATTTTCATTTTATATTTCAATTCATTAGTTCAATATCAATATCATTTCATCCATATATAGATTTCCAGTTCTTTATCTCCTATTATTTCCATTTTCAGCTTACCAACTATTTTATTTAACATTACACATCATTATTATCCTTAATTTTCCCTAAGCCAATTATATAATATGCAATCCTTAAAAAATAAAATAAAAGCCAATATATTTAGGATCCATATGGTATATCCCCTCAATCTATCTAATTTAATAATTCATTTCCCAGTTTTAAACATATTCACATTAAATAATCAACCGTATATTTTAAAACATATATATTTTAAGATATCCCCCCCCTGAAATTGCTAAAATTTATCCAAAATGTATCTATTTGTTTTAATACATTTCCATTCCCCTGTTTTAAACCTCTAATGTAAGAGTTCATAACAGCATAATTCATATACAGTTAAAATCCTAAAATAGTTTCTAACAAGTTTTAAACTGAATGCCAATATACATTCCCATGTGGTATCCCCCTTATACAATCCCTAAACCTTATCTCTAAATCTTGAAACTTTATCATTCCTTTTAATTTTGGCTGGGTTTCCCTTTTCTAAGTTTCCCCAGTTTCTTCTTTTTTCCTTCTAATTTTATTTTTATTTCCCTCTGCCTGTCGGCCATGTTTCCCCCCCCTTTTCAGTTCTCTTTTTTGGGGTTTCTTCTTATGTATTCTCTTCTTCTTCTTGGTCTTGAGTGTCTTTCTTTTATTTATTGTCTCTAATATCGAAGTCTCTGTTTTAAGTCCTTTTATGTCCTTTGACAATAATCCTTGTTCTTCATGCTCGTCGAGGCTGTTATTTCCTTCTTTTAATTCGTCCTCTCTGGGCTTCCTTTATTCTTCTGCAAGGTGTAACGCCATTACTTTACTCAGCATTAACTCCACCAATCTCATTCTTTCTTTAAACATCTCTCTCACATTTTGGAGCTCCAACTAAAATTCTTTGCTTATTTCTTCCATTTCTTTGGTCTATTAAGTTATTCTTTATTTTATTAAAAGTCAAATTTTCTTTTTTATATAAAGCTTCTGGGGATCTTGTTACATACAACCGGTAATTTTCCATAGAAACATAAAAGAAGGAAATTTTTAACCCTTAGGTGGTGCTCTATATCACTTTCTTCTTAGAATTCTTTTATTTTTAATTCACTTTTCCATAATATTAATATTAGATTTAACCAATTCCAAATAAGTCCAGCATTTTATCCAATGCCTGATTAATGTCCAATTCTGTATGTTATTCTAAATTTAGTCTCTAATCACATATAATTCTTTTATTTCCAGTTTTTTCTTTACCTTATATTTTCCTCTTATTTCTCATTCGCCGCTACAACTCTTCCAAATGAGGGCTCTTTCTCTCCGCTTTTTGGGGTTATCCAAAAGATTATTCAAAATCTTTTATCCAGTTACTCGCTGTTCACCGCTTTCACTCTTCAGCACAAAACTTGTGTCCTGGCAACTTCCCGTCTTCAGGGCAGCCATCAAAAGACTGCCGCTTCTCCCTGTCTTCTAGGGGAGTTTGCCAAGCCAGGGAGGGGAGATGCAGCTCCCCTTGACCCAGCTGGTGGTCTCCTCCTCTTCCCTCCACCCCCACGAGGTGGGTCGGATGGATCTGGTCCTTTAAGGACCCCTCCAACAGGGTAAGCACAGATCAAAGGCACACACAATCACAGTCTCTTATCCATCATTGACCAGAACCTAGGTACCACCAGATTGAATCAACTCTTGGTGGCTGTGTGGACAAATCTTAACCATTTTGACCTTAATAAGCAATAACCCTTCTATGACTATTCCAGTGATCTCAATGATTCCATAAATTCACCTTACAGTCTGTTTTTTCCCTTCTGCATCCCTCAGGCTTGCCAACCATAATCATTTCTTCTAATCCATCATCTGCTGGAATTATATGCCTAAAGTATGCGAGCTTCTACATGCTGATCAACAGTACAAAGGAACTGTCAGGCTTTATTTGATCCAGGATTAACTGTCTGGTTCTGCTTGCAGCTCATGGCTTTCATAGAAACTACTTCCAAATACGGCATTTGAAAATTTGTATCGATTAGATATATGATTGCTAAAATGTCGTGAGACTTAGCAGTCTCGTGATTTCAAACAAGATGATGATGATGATGATGATGATGATGATGATGACGACGACAACATTTGGACTTCTTCATTGACTTCTCATTGCCCTCCAAAGCAAAGGAAATAATTTCTAAGCATGCAATGAATAATTTTGAATAAGTGTAAACAGGAAATTTTACTATTATTTCCCAAAACATTCCATGCATCTCATAAGTATAATTTCAAGGGGAAAAAAGGTTGGTAGATGACAGCATACAATCATTCATTTACTTATTATCAATGTTAAATGCTAACCTCAGGCACTAGTATATTCAAGGACTGGCTTGTGAGTTTCATCATACTGGGGAGTGGTCCTTCAAGGCATTTTGATGTGGAGACCTCCCCATTAAAATTTATTTTCACTCCAGGGAGAGGTAGCGTTATTCACACAAAAGCTTCAACCAATTGCAACATCATTAACTGCAGAGTTGCTCCCTTGAAAAACAAAAATTAGAGTAGATAACCCAAACTTCTTAGCAGTATCTGTCATCTCTTTTCCATCTTTGTGACCTTCGGCTTCATTGGGTTAAAATATCCAGTGTAGTCAATACAGTTGGAGGGGACCTGGCTGTATTTATGACCCCTCTAACGAATTATTAAATTTCCATTTCTGAAACAATTGATTGAGTCAGGATATAATAGAATAGAATAGAATTCTTTATTGGCCAAGTGTGATTGGACACACAGGGAATGTACGAGGGCTATCCACAAAATAGATTACGTTTTCGTCTGTAGCAAGAAGGGGCGGAGCTAGCGTGGCCATCTTTGGTCTGTGCGTCCGCCGCTCAGTCTGCATCTAGTCGTGCTAGTGGGAGGTTCGTATTGTTGCCCGTTATTTCACAGCAAACGTTTGAAATGTGTGCTGCAATTGAAAATCCCTCGAGAAAAGCCCCGATCTTGCTGTAGGGCGGATGAGGAAAAATCTCCCACTTGAAAGCATTCAGGACTTCTCGAGTGCGATTTGCTGTGTGTGGTCGGGCATTGTCATGCAAAAACAAAATTTTTGAGCTTAACTTTCCTCTACGCTTGTTCTGAATTGCTTTTCTTAGTTTTTGCAACGTTTCACAATAATTTCAATCGGTTTATGGTTTTTTGCAAACAAAAACCTTATCACTGATCGCACCTCACATCTCGAGGGATTTTCAATTGCAGCACACATTTCAAACGTTTGCTGTGAAATAACGGGCAACGATACGAACCTCCCACTAGCACGACTAGATGCAGACTGAGCGGCGGACGCACAGACCAAAGATGGCCGCGCTAGCTCTGCCCCTTCTTGCTACAGACGAAAACGTAATCTATTTTGTGGATAGCCCTCGTATCTTTGGTGCATAAAGAAAAAATAAAATACATTCATCAAGAATCATAAGATACAACACTTAGTGATAGTCATAGGTTACTAATAAGCAATCAAATCATACTAGGAAACAAATAAAAATATAAATTGTAAATATACAAGCAACATGGTTATAGTCATAAGTGGGAAGAGATAGGTACTAAGGAAGGATGAGATGAATAATACTAATAAAATCTTAGTAAATAATTTGACAATGTTGTGGAAATTAGTTATATAGCAGAGGGATGAGGATGTTATTCTCTGATTATTCAAATAAGTTTGAGAAAGTTCAGTCTTGTAGTCCTGCAGGTCTCTATGCTCCCATATCAGTTAGGAAAGGAAACTTGCTGACCCTTTTACTGGGATTCTTGCCAAGTAATCTAAAACTATGCTGTTTACACTTTTGATGAAGCCACTGAGGAAGCATTCAAAAGACATCTAGCCTACCCAGTGTCAAGGTTTCTTTGGAATATTTTTTAAAAGAGCACTTCATATTATATTTTGCCACTCTCAGCAAGGAGGACAGGACCTTAACAAGGGGACATTTCACTCAAGGAGTGTTGCAGACAACTTAGAATTTTTAAGGACTATGTTTACAATTATTACAGAATCATTTCTAGCAGTAATATTTCTTTTTCTTTTTTACTTCATTTTTAAATTTTATTCAAAATATTAAAATAGAAAAGACAGAGGCAAAACTAGACAAGAACATTAAAAAAATAATGTGAATTAAAAAAATCCTCCATATATTATCACCTAATTGAACATTGACAAATTATTACAACAATAATAGCTGCCCCCTTGCAAAGCAGAACCAAAATTTACAAGCTTTGCATCTACTTGCAACCCCATTGACCAGTCAGTCATACATTCTATATATTGCAAATAAAAAAAAAAAGTTAACAGCTTACAGAACAGCAAAATTAAAGTTCAAGACCCTTTGTTAAGAGTCTGTTATTATAATTTACTTGTAGAAAGTCTACCAGGTTGTTTTTATTTATCAAAAATCACCCCCGTCATTATCTCTGACCTGTCCAGGATCAAATATTAATAATGAAACCTTTCCTACTCTTGAGTCATTTCCCTACTGTATTTAAATTGTTTTATACTGCATCTGATTGGGAGTCAACCTGATTCTTGCCTGGACTTTGCAACGTTTATCAGGTTTTATTTATGTTCATTTTTGTTTTGCTACTCAAGGAACATCTCCGATTGCCAATTCCACTCCATTCTGTAAGAGCTTCTTTGCATTTTTTACATACTGGTAACATGGCAACTCTGAAGAGGAAGGTTTTTTTTTTTTTTAAGGCGCAAGTTTGTTTGCCTTTCCTGTTTGTTTCTCAAATGCTTGACATTTGAGCTCTGAGCCATCTTTGTGGGAAGAATCAAATGAGATGCTTTGCAATCGCTGAATCCACCCAAGGATCTTCTTTGTTCTCACTGCACCCAGGTGACCAGCAAACATTCCCGGACATGCAAGAACTTAATCCACTTAATTGAATTTCTGAATATCTATGCCTAAAGCAATTATTCTACATACTCTCAGAACAATCTGTAGAACTTAAAATTACTGTCATCAACACAATCTATGGAGCTCAGCTAGAAATGTATGTATTCATTATAATAGAAAACAGGAACATTTCTTTTGCTATGGGTTCTCTAGTTCCATTGC